TCCTTTGGAATGTGCTTTAACTTTAAAACAGAAAAACATACCCCATTAAAAAGATTATTGTGACTGGATTGCATCGGTCCTTAAAAAGACTAAGCGGGTGAATCTTGTCCGTTGTTATGTCAGGTTTAGATTCAGGAAAGTTTAGTTAGTGTTTGTGTTTCACAGGATAACCATACATGTAATCACTCCATCTGCTTTAGGGATCGACAGCAGAAGCTGGCAGCCACATTTCTATACAGGCATAACACACATGCAGTTGATGCCCATCAGCAATAAAATTAATTAGCTTTCTGCTCAGCCTCACAGCTGCAAATGAACGAGAGCCAGCTGGTCCCCACCCTCACCTGCCAAACGGCAAAGAACAAGATTATTTATTATAATTATTTTCTTAAAAAAAGAATGAAAAGACGCTCCAGGAGCCTTAGTCTGTGGTAATTAAAGCAGCATTTTTTTCGCTTAAACGAAGAAGGCTATGGTTGGCAAAGGACAGTCGTACAAAAAATGAAAAAGGATACCATACTTAAAAATGTTTCGGGATTAAAAACACAGACTTTTTGCAACTGATGGGAAAGGAAAGGGGGAGGGGCTAGGGGATTACGGTTATAGGTATGGCCACACCCCCTCTCCCCTCTGTGCTGTAAGGGTGGGTGGGTGTGTCAGCCTCTGGGTCGTTTCCCTGGCGACCCCAGCCCCGCCCCCTTCTAGGGCTGGTTCTGGAACAAGGAGGCGGACTGAATGTGAGTGACGTGGCCGATGCCCTTGGTCACGCCCTCGCGGAACAGCAGTTTGGCCCCCACCTTCAGGTACTCGGGGTGCTTGATGAACCTGAAGCGAACCACGGCCTTCTCTCCTGTCCGCAGCTCCTCCTGAGATGTCCAGAGACACAGAGGCGGTTTTTTAAAAGCACTCAAGACACAAAGGTGACATAGAGGTAGAACCACTCCATGCATCTGAGTACTACAAAACCTTAGGGTGAATTGAAGTTTTTGTCCACTAGTCATTCAGCAGACACCCGTACCCAGAGCACCATATAACATGGTCGAATGTAAGTACATAAACTTGATTAATATGAGTATAGTGCCAGATAACAATGTTTCCAGACCAGCAAGTATACACAGTACAGGGGGTCCTCGACTTACGAACGAGTTCCGTTCCTACGACTTGTCCATTTTCAACAGTCATTTATACCTAAATTATACCTAAGTTAACACCTTAAGTCACTCACACTGTGAACAGAATACATGAAGGACATATAAAATACAGTAATTAAATGACACAGTAATAAAAAAGAGAGAGAACAACTGTGGTCGTATTTTACGAACCAAACCGCTTAGGTCGAAACTAGGTTTTTTAAATAATTTATGGGAGTGCGTCGTAACCACGAAACAATGTAACTCGTGACCGTCGTAACCCGAGGACCCCTGTATATATAAATCCATCACAAAATGCTAATGCATGTCAGCCATGCTAATTACAACCAATACACATGCTGAATGCAAACAGTATATTGACACAAGATGTGTATTTTTCCAGTTCATATGTACACTGTAAGAGCTTCTAGTTGCTTTAGGAGTGCATTCATGCCGCCATGTGGTCTCCTGAGTGAGACTCAGGTGTGAAACTCACCTTGCCGTGCAGTCTCTCCACCGTGGCTGTCTGCCGCACGTTCCCCACGTGCACGGTCACCTGGAACCCCTTCCGGAAGGTTTTGGCGTGGAAGAGCAGCACGATCTCCGCCTCGAAAAGCCAGCAGATGGTGGGGTTCATTTCTGGACTGACCATCACCATGCCCTGAGCAAGAGACATCAGCATGACGACGAGCTGTCAGCTGACCTTACCACCGCAACACAATGGGCTGCTGAATTTTAAGTGTTTTTGGTTTAAATAAACATTAAACAACCCCAAAGTTAAAAAATAAAAATCAACTGCTATTTAAATTAATTAGATACATGTTTTTTTAACAGATCTTGACAAGTTTTGGTCTTATAGCAAATGCTTATACTCACTGATCAAATGAACATAAAACTTTTTTCACAATATTCAACAGCTATATGTTGCCATATTAATTGGAGAATCACAATAGCCAAAGAATCACAATGCCATTGAATTGTGTCCTACATATTGCAATGATATTGAATTGTCCCTGGTCTCTGTGAGGCTTGAATTCTTTATTATACACCAGTAAAATTTCTAATTTCACCTATGTACTGAACAAAATTCTTTAGTACAACTGCTTGAAAATATTGCATGTTGTCTTTGATCACATGTTAAAGGGAAATTCTTAGGGGTCTGAAGGAACTTTTGACTTGCATCTACAGTTCAATAAGTATTTCTGATATACATATCTAATCTAGGTCTAACAACTTTCTGTCTTGGGAGTACCACAGAGCATATTTAAGGATTCAGTCTCACTAGCGCCATCTGCTGCCTGATGTCTGTACAACAGCATCAGGAATTTTTGGCTGGGATTCAATGAACATTTGTCTTTAACTTCGCCTCCCGATAAAATGTAAGTCAAGTGCTCATTTTTATCTGCACCAGTACGAATTGACAAGTTCAGCAATCATGAAAATTAAAATGCCATGTTCTTGAGTTCTCTTACTCAATTGTGTGTAAAAGTTTGGGCAAATGTTGATTTGTTCCTGACCTTAGTGCTTTCACATAGAAGATGTATGGAAGAAGTGACTCACTATAGGAGAGCTACAGTTTTGCTGGGTTTTTTTTTGGCAACTTAAAATCAGCAAACAGTTCAGACCCATGAAACCAGGTGAGGCGACTTAACGGTGTAATAAACTCAGTTAAATGATCAGCTAAGTGCTGAGAAACTACAAACCCCAGCATGCCCTGTATCTCTGTGGGACCCGACTCAGCTGTCCCTGGTTTGATGTGTTTCTTGTACTTGTGGCAGAGCCTGACCTTGCGGAGCAGCGAACGGTCAAAGTTTCCCAGAGCGAGCGTAGCGGCTTGGCCAGCCCTCAGCACCCTGCAGGCTGAGCGGTTCCTCTGGATGCTGCACACCTTCAGCCCCAGAAAACGGCCCTCGTCTGTGGGGCCCACCACCAGCCTCTCCCCCTCTCTACAGATACCACTGGACAGAGAGAGAGACACTGTTAAACACACACACACACACACACACACAATGACTGCATGGTCAGTGTGGTTGTGAACAGACCGTACCTGTACAGCGTTCCTCCCACCACGGTTCCCACCTCTGGCACTGTGTAGATCTCATCCACCTGCATCAAACACAGGCAGACATGAGAGACCCAACTAAAGACTCAAGCTGCACATATCTGTGTGACCATCAACGTTTGCATAAATGAATGCCTATGAATATGTCAGGGTATGTGTGGATGCACATATCCTTTTGTGAGTGTGACTGTGTATGTTAGTATGTAGTGTGTGAGTGTGTATGTGCTGTGTGTGTCTGTGCTGTGCGAGTGTATCTATGGTGTATGTGTATGTGCTGTGCGAGTGTGTCAGTGCTGTGTGTGTCTGCGCTGTGCGAGTGTGTCTATGCTATGTGTGTCTGTGATATGTGTGTCTGCACGCTGTGCTGTGTGTGTCTGTTCTGTGCGAGTGCGTCTGTGCTGTGTGTGTCTGTGCTGTGCGAGTGTGTATATAGTGTGTGAGTGTGTCTGTGCTGTGCGTGTCTGTGCTGTGCGAGTGTGTATATAATGCTGTGTTCTGTACCTGGAACTCAGTGAGCTGCTGCATGAGCTCCTCCTGCTCCTTGCTGTTGCTGAGGGGGGGCAGGATGTTGAAGAAGACTTTGAGCAGATCCAGACTCTCCCCCGACACGCTGGACAGGGTGAATATGGGAGTGATGCTGCAACACACAGATAGGGCACGTCAGGCAAACACACACACACACACACACACACAAAACTTGGACAGGGTGAACATGGGAGTCACTCTGTGGATGCCACTGCGACTGATGCAGTGGGTTGTGGGTAATACCTAGTTGACTGGTACAGTGGATTGTGGGTAATGTCTAGGAAATTGATGCAGTAAATTGTGGTAATAGATGACCATTGCATTGAATTGTGGGTAATAACAGGTCAGTGATGCTGTGCATTGTGGGTAACAAATAGATGAGTGATGCAGTACACTATGGGCACCTAGGTGAGTGACACAGCGAACTGAGGGTAATACCTGGGCGACTGGGCGAACCTCTGGGCAGCAGTGACAGCGTCGTCGGCGTTGGACACCAGCATGGGCACCTTGTTGCAGCCGGGCTGCTTGAGGACGCGCTCGAGCTGGCGCACCGTCCTCTCCACCGTCCCGCGTGAGCACAGGTCCACCTTACTCACCACGATGAAGATGGGCACCTTCAGCGCCATGGCCAGGCCCAGGTGCTCCCGTGTGGTGCCCGCTGAGGAGAACAGAGCCCCACGTCAGAGAGCAGACCCGCCCAAGAGAACAGCCCCGCCCAGGCCGGGGTAAGACCCACTCATCTGGAGTAGTCACGATCAGCCTATAACCCTCATACATAGGCTTAAGATACTCCATGGGATTCAATTTTCACTACTGTCTGTGCCATAACATTTTCAGTGACAGAATGATGAACGACTGCGTCAGTCTATCCATCCTCCCCTAAAATGTGCTCTTTCTCCCCCTCCCTCCCTTTGCACACCCCTCCCTTCTTTTTGATGAGAGCTGTAGCCTATGCGTTGAACTTAGCCAACTGGTAGGTGCTACAAAGGGGGACGACTTGGTTATGGGGGTGTGGGGAGTGTGGGGAAAGAGTGAAAACATCAGAATATATCGCTAACTCAAACTTCTCCTCCCCACCACAACCAAAATCAGGTGATAAGACCAGCCCTATGCCTCACAGCACGACTTAGGACCTAAGACTGGAACAGCAGGTCTGCATTCACTTAGCAGATGTTTTTATCCAAAGCGACTTACAGTTAATTGGGCTAACCAAGGGCCAATCCCCCTGAGCAATGTGGGGTTAGGGGCCTTGCTCAAGGGCCCAACAGCAATGGTGTTCTTGCTGCGGCTGGACTGGGGCTTGAACCACCAACCTCAGGAGTCCCAGTCATGTCCCCTGCCCACTGGACTACAGGCTGTCCCAAGACTATAATGTAATGTAACCTAGAAGCTGAGAGGTAGAGTGAGATCACAGTCTGAAATGAAACACCTCTGCGTGGGGTCTGAACACTCCGTACCTGAGGAGCTCTCCCATACACCTGCGATGCAACCCTGCCGTGTCTCCGCTCTCACTACGTTCATCCATAATTAAAGCCCCACTTGACTCATCGTGACATTTTCCAGCTAGTGTTTACACCATGTCCCGTAGCTCGATAACAGTGTGATGATCACAATAATCCAAGTCCAAGAATTTAAAATGGCTGCAAACCATTTTTCTGACCTTCTCCTGCTATGAATTCTCATGTGTGGCTGACATACGTTCTTACAGACATTACAGATCCGATGTATCTATCCTGTTCATAAAGTTACGGGCAAAAACGATTGTTGTTACTTTCCAGTTAGTTCCATAAGTATTTCTTAGACTGAAATCGGGAAGTAAATTTGGTTGGAGTGGGCCAACTCATTTGAGACGCCTCTCATTCACGAAGAAGAGAAAACCTGACAGACCAAGATAAACGCATCCCAACATAACGTTCAAAACTTACATGTAAATCTCACTTGAAGGTTCTAGCTGAGATTTAAGTTACAGATTTACTCCATTAGAATGTGATTCAAAAAGTGGTCGCCATGACAGCCTACTCCAAAGACCTCTGTAAGATGAGGCAGGCATAGGCTTGACTGCGGTTGACATCAGCTGCTTGAAGCAGACGCTGCATAACAAGTGATCCGAGACGGAAAACAGCCCCCGACTGTGGGCTGGGCTCTGTCCGCCACACCGTAACGAGCACTTTATGTAACTGGCTCAAAGACGAGTTACTTCAAAAACCTCATGTAATCACCTAATGAACTCACCATACAGTACAGCTACGTACGTTCTGTTTCTGTGCATGGCCTATATGATTTCTGTCTTAAGGGTGAAACAACAGTGAATATTTCTATTCTTCCCTTTGAGTACAGTGTAGGCATAGAACCTGACTATGTAGTAACACACAAGGATGTTCAGGGTCTAATGATGTTTAAACTGAACACAAAAGGATTCTGAGACAAAAAAATACATTGACAAAGTGAAAAAGGATTTTGTTACCCTTATAAACAGGCTAAAATATATCGAAATACTGTATATCAACCTTGGTTTTTACATTGGTTATATATGCTGTTATTGACAATGTATATACATAAGTATCACACATATATACAGCACACATACATAAATACAATGTTTAATATAATATCATAGGTCGACAGTCAAATACTATAATCAGAGACACTTGCAAAATCCTGGCCCATATCGTTTACATTAGAACATTTTTAAACATGAAATTCAAGTGTATATTTGCAATTTATCTTTCACAATGCCTGTCTTTGTAATGTTTTATTTTTGCATCACGAGGAGAAACTTCATGTTTTCTAGTTTGATTAACGAAGGAATCTGAATCTGATTCTCTGATAATATGTCAGGTAAACATGAACTGCTTTTCTGGCATAGGCTTCCAGCAAGATTATTGGTGCCCTCAGGTTTCTGAGTGTGGAGTGTGAATTTGATTGGCCCAGAAAGGTTGGTCTATGAATATGTTTAATACCACCTGTGAGAGGGACCTGTGCCTCTTTACAGCCACTTCCTATTAGAGCTCTGCCTACACTAGAGTGTGATTGGTCAAAAGTAGTAACTGACCACTGTTTTATTAACAAAGTTAGATGGCATTATGCCACAATGGAACTAACAGCTGGTCAACATCATGGTCCTGACAGCTGAGACTATAGAAAATATACTGAATTGGGTTTTAAGGCTTTGACACGGCCACAAGAGCTATTGTAAAAGTCACTATCAATGCTATTTTGTTAGCATTAATGTTACATTGTCTTTTGAACCTTCCGGCAACATACGTGGTCTGACTCTGGAAGGCCCATGAATGGATGGCGAGTTTGCGGGCTCAGCAAAATGCCGCAGTGTCTCCCTTTCTCCACGCAACAGCCTGCTCTATCTGTCGCCATCTGTGAGGAGGTGGATCTCGAACCCCCATTTGTAGAAAATAAGCATACTTTGCAAATCTAAAGAGGCTCAAAATTGCGCTTAGGGAAGAATAGCTTCTAAAAAAAAAAGTAATTCTCATGAATGTTTTCTCTTCCTTTGCTTGGAATAGAGAGACCAGACTGCAACTGCGATTACTCCATATCTTCAGCTGTACGACAGCATGGCCAAAACAGAAAGAACGGCCTGTTCTCATCATTATGTTCTCTTGCGTTACAAATCTCTAGTGTTAGTCGCTACAGTGCAAGCCAGCTTCTATCTTTGGCTCTGAGCTTAATGTGCTATTCATAGTGCTGGGGTTCTGCTAAAAAATTAAAATGTAACCAGTTAAGGATTACATGACCAAAAAATTCACTTATTATAAAATAAATGACAATGTTTTTTTGATTACTTTACAGATGTGATGAGGAAGAGTGAGATCATTGAAAACATAACTATAATGACTTGGGCTGACCGCATTTAACTGATTATAGACAACACTGACTGCATGTGTCTGTGTGTGAGACAGAGAGAGATGGCAAACAAACATGTAATTTGAAATTCTAGAATAAAGGCCAGGATTTCATGTGCGCTGACAGCAGAGGTGTATCTACTGGAAACTCACCAATGCCTGTGTTGGCGCCCACCACCAGCATGGCGAAGTCCGGGCAGTAGCTGGTCAGGCCGAAGATGGTGGTCTTCAGGTACTTGTGGTGGCCGGCCAGGTCGATGAAGGTGATCATTTTGGAGCTGCTCTCGCAGATCTCCTCGGCCGTGCGCGAGCCGCTGTAGTTCACCACCTGCGAAAGGGGCATCGATGGAAGGTCGGAGGTTAAGGGTCAGAGGTCAAAGGTCATCGACAAGGAAACAGTTAAAAACAAACTAGAGATGTAGGTCAAATATACAAAATATTTTTAAAAAAATTATGTTAGATAAGGACACTGCAAAAAATTCTTAATGGATATTATGAACTTTAATTTTAAATGGATTCATACAAATACAATCAACATACAATATGGCATTTACATATGGCTCCCTCACCTCTCCTTTGCTGTTGAAGCCCAGGATCTCGAAGCTAATGCTGGAGGTCCGGCCAGTCTGGATTTCGTGGAGGTGTCTGAAGAGGTTGAGGCGCGCTCTTCCCCGGCCATTGTCCAGCTCACCCTGGGTCAGCACACCGAGCAGGGTGGACTTCCCAGAGTCCACATTTCCCAGAACCGCTACCCGCAGGTCCAGGAACTGCACACAGACAGCCACAAGAGGGCACTTGAGAGTGACAGACATGCTACTCATTTAGAGTGGCGAAAAGCACCTACTTTTTATGTGGCTTTTGTGAGACTGACATTAGCGATTAGCATTCCTGTAGCTTTTACACTACTGAGATGTCTCCCCCAGGTGCTTGAAGGAGGGGCCAGTTGGACAATACATGTGCACATGAAAGACGCTATAACACAAAGAACACATTTGGTAGATAATTTATATGGGGCACCATATAGCCTAGTTGCTAAGGTGAATGACTGGGACCCCTGAGGTTGGCGGTTCAAGTCCCAGTCCAGCCACAGCAAAAAAAAAAAAAAAAAACACCATTGCTTGCAGGGGAGATTAGTCTAATCAACTGTAAGTCGCTTTGGATAAAAGCATCAGCTAAATGACAGTAATGTAATGTAATTTTACACTACTCAGTTTGGGGAAGGGGAACACACCCTGATCAGGAACCAATGCCCTGGTCTGTACTTAACATGAGCACAATGGCTGAAAGTCTATGGGAAAATCTGAGGACACAACCTAGCTCCAAACAAAGACATTTTCAGAATATATATTTTCAGAATTTCCATACATTTTCAGAATACACATTACTTGTTTGGGCTTCTGCAGTGGCGACACAGAACTGTAAATGTTAAGAACACAGAGCCGAGTATGTAGTGAGTCAAAATAATCATAATAACTTTGCATTCTGATAATAGAAATAGAGCAGGCCTTCTTTAAAGAGGGAGAGTAAACAAGCCACCTAACCTGCTGGTCATCTGGAACTTTCCGGACTAACACCTCAGCGATCTTCCTAGGGGTGTCGGAGTCGTAGTCTACCTCTCTCTCTCGGAGGATGGTGATGTCAGCGCCGACCCTGGTCGGACAGACAGACAGACAGACAGCATTGCTGCATTATGTGGATGTTCTCTGTTTGTGAGGACTGCATAACCGCTATGGATGCTTTAGTTCAGTGTGTGTGTGTGTGTTTGGAAAATGAAAGGCGGCTTGTCGGGGTGGTGTGTGTGTGAGTGTGTATGTGGTTGATGAACAGCAAAGTTCCAAAAGTAAAGTGACTCCTTTTGGTGCTTAGACTGCGTCTCCTATTTTTTCAAACCAAAAAAAAAACCTGATTTCAATTGTTTTAGTTGGTGTTATTATTATTAACAAGACAAAAATAGAATAATAATCCTTTTGTTGTCACTACAATTATCATCATCACTATTATTAATACTATTATGATTATGACTATTAATATCACGATCATAATTACTTCTCCGCCATCCTGCGCAGGGTCTTGAGCGAGGCCTTCATGTCGTCCTGGGACAGCCCCACCAGCAGCCCGTTGTCCTCCACCCCGATCTGGTACACCGCCTCGCCCCGCCCCTCCTGCAGCCGCCATTTCATCTGTGTGGCCAGGTGCTCGAAACGGTACTGAGTGGGGTTGACCAGCTTCAGCTGCGCAGACAGAGAGAGGCAGAGGCTGCATGATTCAGCTGCGCAGACAGAGAGAGACAGAGGCTGTATGTTTCAGCTGCGCACACAGACAGAGAGACCATGCATGATTCAGCTGCGCAGACAGAGAGAGACAGAAGCTGTATGTTTCAGCTGCACAGCCAGAGAGACAGACGTTGTATGTTTCAGCTGCGCAGACCGAAAACGACAGAGAGAGAGAGGCTGAGTGCCCCCGATAGCATCAAGCCTGAGAGGAACAGAGAAAAAC